TCTGAACTTCTAATCTGTTTAGATATATCCTTCTTCATTTGCTCGAGGAAAATATCAATGATTTTTTCCTTTGGATAGATCTCAGAATATTTCTGAGCAAAGAGTTTGAAAGGACTAGTATTCTCATCCTCCTCTCGTTTTTCTTGATCATTTCTGTAAATGTTGATTTTTTCTTTTATTTTTTCAATGGTTTCGCAGCCAAATATCTCTCCTGTTTCTGTATCTAGGCGCATGAGTTTTTCCCAGAATTTACACATACCAATTATCCATAAGCATGGAGCACCGTAGTTGGTATAACCAAAAGTTGGTTTCCACTTCCTGATCCATAGAATACCAAATTCAATAAAAAATATACAGGAAGTTTTTCCTTCAATATATTTCTCTTTATTTTGAATGTTGGGAGAAATGGCTACCCATTCTTTCATAAGACTGCTGGATTTTTCAGGCAAAATGTTTGTTGATGGTCCAAAAATTCTCCACCAAGAAAAAAACCAAGTAGGGATTGGTTTGTGGAAAATATTTTCACATATCTTAATAAACCAAGAATGTCTTTGTTTTTTGTTTTCAAAGTAAAAAGTTTTATAAAAACTTTCTATATAATCAAAATAGTTGAATTTTGTCAGATTTATCAATCTGTATTTGCCAAAATCCAGATTTTAAATCAAACTTAGAGAAAATTAGGGCATGGACAAGCCTGTCGAGAAGATCCTTTTTATTAGGGATAGGATGTCTAATCCATTTTAAAACCTTATTAAGGGGTTTATAATTAATAACAAGTCTAGGAACACCTCTTTCTTGTTCAGAATGTTTATTAACATAGAAAGCAGCAACAAGAATATCGTCTATATAGATGATAATAAATTCACTATAGGGGGTAAGAATGTCATTCATAATTTGTTGAAATTCCGAATGGGCATTTTTTAATCCAAAAGGCATAACATTCCACTATAATATTATTATTATTATTATTATTATTATTATTATTATTATTATTATTATTATTATTATTATTATTATTATTATTATTATTATTATTATTATTATTATTATTATTATTATTATAATAATAATAATTATTATTATTATTTATATTATTATTATTATCATTATTATTATTATTATTTTATGCAAGGCTCCAACTTTTTGATTCGATTATTTTTTCCGCATACTCTTCATTGTAGAAAAAAATATATACCGGTTACATTTAAAAAAAGGTTACATTTAAAAAAAGGCGGCGGTTATATGCAAGTCCATTTTTTTATTAGTTCAAACCCACATAAAGGAATTTATAAGTTCAAACCCGTAAATTAATCTAATTTTTTTATATCAAGACCAAAGAGGACAAACATACCCTTATCCACAAATAATACTCAAATACAAATAAATCATATTTTATAGTTTGTTCAAGACCAAAAAATCAAAAAAAAAATATCACGACTGCCGCCGTAAGACCGCCGCAACGCCGACCGGCGAGACTTCCATCGCACCGGCGATGACCAGCCACCCACGCACCGCACCATTACCACCACCGCACCACCACCAACAAGTAAGTCCTTTTTACTAAACTTTTGTTTGTAAATTCGAAAACATTAATCGAGCATCAATGTCCTTTTTATTAAACTTTTGTTTGTAATTTCGAAAACATTAATCGAGCATCAATTCTTGATAAATATGTATGAATGAACATTATTCTATGCTTATTTCTTGGTGGTTGCAATGCTTTGGCCGATTTTGCAAAAAAAATGAAATTGGAATTGTTTTTTTTTTTTTTTTTGATTTCGTTGGTTTCCCAAATCGGTTTACCCAGACCGATTTTGTACACGAAAGTCGGCGTCACAATGCCGATTTTTGTTAACCAAACCGGCGACACAGCGTCGACTTTACAAGTCAAAATCGGCGTTCTAATGTCGATTATTGACTACAAAATCGGTTTTCGGATACCGATATTTTTCGATTTTTTTTAAATAATATATTATATATTTGGTTAATTAATATTTTTTAAATATTTTGCAGTGGAACCTCAACCTCCTCGTGTACCCCCGACCGTCTCAAACCGTAATCAAAAAGAAAATGCTCGAAAGAGCAAGGTGGAAAAGCCAAAAAAAAAGGCGTGCCCCTGTTAATCCTCCCGGTCGACGCACTCGGATTAATGAAGGTCCTTCTTCAGTACCGATATTTCACGATTTTTCGCTTTTTGGATTTTTTTTCCAATTCGTAATACACACTATCCTTAGGTGTTTGGATCTTATAATACAATTTAGAGGTATTAAGCATAAATATATATGTTACGAGCAATTGTAAGTATATGAAGAATAGAGTATGAGAAGAAGAGAACATAAATAATAATACGTAATAGAAAACCCCCATTATGTTATGGGTTGATTACATGGAATATATATAGAAAAATATTGCAAGGTAATAGAGTTTGACTAGGTAACTAAATCCTAACTAATCTAGGTAACCGAATCATACTAGAATCCTAATATTAGGAGAGTTCTATAATATTATATTCTCTAACACGCCCCCGCAGTCGAAACGTGACTAACGTGAAGACTGGACAATCACTTGCTAACACGCTCCCGCAGAAGTGAAGACTGGAAAAGAAGTCGCGAAACACAACGCTAGAGACTTCCTCTCTTGAAATATCAACCAAATTTAAAATAATAATAATAATAATAATAACGGGTGAGAGTAAAATAAGCAACTTTTTTTTTGTTTTTTTTTTGTTTTATCGAGATAGAGAGAATAGATGAGAGAGAGGGAAGAAGAATAATTAAAAGAAGATAGAGATTAAAGAGAGAGAAATTATATTAACCGACTAAGAAGAAGAACATGTCGGATAATAAGAAGAACTGATAAGATAGAGATGATGCACCACCACCGGGGGAGGGAAGAAATTGGGGTGGTGGTCGCTGGCCATGGAGAAGAAGAGAGGCGGTGGCTATGTAAAATATTGTACATTAATTACATTGTTTCATGAAAAATCTTTTACCGTCTCGTCTTCACTTACATATGTTAAATTTATGAAGGTTTCTTGCAAGGCTACTTCTTGACCAACTAACTTCCTAAACATTGTAATCCTTGATTTCATACCGGAAGTCTTCCAACCATCCGATTTTTCATCATGGCACCGTCGCCAATAATCCGCCATAGGAGGTATAGGACAATTCATGTTAACTCCCACCCAACATTATAGGTATCCTTTCCTCGTTTTGTCCATTTAATCTTAATGTACAATTACATTTTTAAGAACTCGTCCTCCTCTTTCCCTCTCCTTGGTTATCCTCACTGGCTTTCTTCTTCCCACGATACTCACCCGCACGCTCACATGCCAACATACGGTCTTCTAAGCCCTTTCAATCCCGTATTTGAAACGAAAATGTTTATCACAATTCCGTGCCGTCTACCAACTCCTTTAACCCAATCGAGTAGAGCTTCACGTGTCTCAAATATTTGTTCGTTAGATAATTCATTTGAATATCCTCCATCAATCCCCTAGGTTGTTGCACGAAAGTATGGGAAAACGGTCTTAAAAAAAACATAAATAATAAAACCGGTACTTAAAAACCGTTTTTTGTAGTACAAGTTGGCATGACAATACCGATAATACAAAAACAAATCGATGTTGTCATGCCGATTTGTACTACAAAAATTGGGTTTTAAGTACCGATTTTTATTAAAATAATGGGAATGTGGCTACCGACTTTAGTAACAAAAATCGGTGTTTGGAGACCGATTTTTGGTATCGTCGAATTTTTTTCCCAACAAAAAAAAAAAAAACGACCCAAAAGCAAAAATAAACGGTTAAAACATACTTCATTGTGTTCTCCACCCTCGTAAACCACCATATCATTTTTTCTGGTTCCATCGTGAATGTTTGTTATGTATTTGATAATTTTAGTGTGTAGGGTTTCTTGGTGGGCTTGTAAAGAAGAAGGAGAAGAATGACAAGATTTTTAAGTCGTGAAATAAGGAAGAGGGGTTTCTGGATTTATGAATTTTATTTGGTCTTGCACAAAGGAAATGATTTATTTTTTATTTTTTAATGTTTTGTGGTTTTTTATTTGATTTTAAATTTCATTATAGGTAAATTAGTATTTTTATGTTGGATGTCTTGAATTAATAAAAAAAAGTCTTGCATATAACCGCCGCCTTAAAAAAAAAAAAAAAAAAAGAGAAGGTATGCATTATTGTAAGGCAGCGACTATTTGCAATCACAAATTTACTTAGGGCAAGACCAAATTAATTTTTTTATCAAATTTAGTATAAAAAGACTATAATAACCTTAATAAAATACAAACAAAATAAAAATTATTTTATTAATTTACTTTTGCAAGACCAATTTAAAAAAAAAAATTAATAAAAAAAGAAAGAAAAAACAAATTGAATCGAGAATTGAAAAACGAGGAAGAGAAGAAGGGAAGAAGAAAACAAAGAAAATCAATTGCAGCACTCAACCTTGCCTTCGCCGTCGCCCCGTCGCCGTCGCTGTCGCCGTTGAAGTCCACCACCTCCCCGTCGCCGTTGAAGTCCCCACCTGCAACTGTTGTTGCCCCAACCCCGCCACAACAATCTCACGAAAAGCAAGTAAGGAAATTACTTTTTGAATTAACTTTTTTTGAGAAATAAAATGTGATAAACATGATTTTAATGTTAGAATAATGAATTCAAGTCGTTTTAGAACATAGTTGATGATTCTAGGGTTCGATTCTAGTACTATTGTTGAAGGAGTTGCGGTTTTACTAAAAACGACCTGTACTTGTCGATTTTTTGGAAATATTTCGACATATTGGTGTCGATTTTTTCATCTAATTTCGACAGCACACAATTGTCGATTATTGGAACTTCTTTCGACATCTCAATGTCGATATTTGTACAAAAATTCAACATAAACCCAGTGTCGATTTTTAGAGCAATATTCGACATTTCTGTGTCGAATTGTTGTACAATTTTCGACACAGAGCTTATGTCGATTTTTTTTTACAAATATCGACATTAGGATGTCGAAAATTGACTGGTAAACTGATTTTTTTTTGCAAACTTTTTTTTTTTTTTTTTTATTTTATAAATGATTAATATTATATTAATATTTTTTCAGTGGAACCTCGTAGTCCCCAAACTGCTTCTGAGCGTAAGAGAAAGGCATTGGTCAAGCGTAAAGTTAGACGTGGCGATTCTGAAGCTACTCGGGTCGATCCTCCGGCCAATCGTACACGTTTATTACCTACCGATGCTGAGCCTTCATTGTCCATACCTGAGGATCCACCGCTCACATCGACCACCGAAGTTGGTGGATCTAGTAGCCAATCGGCTGGCCCAGAGGACCACAAATACCATACTTGATGCCGCAGTTTGAGAATCATATCGCCCGACAGATTTTGTCCGGAAATGTACTTTTACACTTATAGACACACATATACATATGTTATTGAAGTTATTTACTTTATTGATTGAATGTTTATTTTTATTAAAATTGTAGGAGCGGGAAAGTGTGAGGGTTCATAATCACACAACAATGTTGGAGAAGTGGCGGATGGCTCCTTTTATGACCGAGGTTGTCGAGAAGTCCGGTTTGATGCCCCTTGTACGTCATTCGTACAAGGTGATAGATAGTGCATTGGTGTTGACTTTCATAGAGCGGTGGCAACCAGCAACTTGTACGTTCCATTTACCATTTGGGGAGATGACTATCACGCTAGACGATGTCAGCAGCTTGACAGGTTTGCCAGTGGTGGGACGGCCAGTATTTATTCAACAAATTAGTAAGACGGGGCCATCGTCACAAGCAATCGTAAAACAAATTATCGGAGTAGTGCTTGACTCGACAGATAAATGTTGGGGTCAAAATCAGAAGGCGCTTAAGTTGGAGTGGTTGCGTAGTACTTTCAGTTCTGTGACAGATAGTGATGATGAGAATAAAAAGACGTGTGCGACAAGGGCATTTTTGTTGTACGTATTGTCATGTACGATATTCCAGGGCAAGACGGGGAATATGGGTACACTGCAGTTGTTGTGTTTGCTAGAAGATTTGGACAATATTGGGACTTACGCATGGGGTACAGCTTGTTTGTGTCTGCTCTATGAGGCGCTGTCGGATGCTTCAAGGGCTAATACGAAGCAAATCAGTGGATATTTGACGCTTCTTCAGGGTTGGATTTACGAGCATTTCCCCCGTCTCACACCGACGGTTAGATCCAGCGAGATTGAGGGACCGTTAGTTACACGATGGGTATATCCAATGAAGTCCGACTCAAGCAATGACAGAGCCCGTGATCTGCGTACTCTGATAGATGATCTGAGCTCCGATGAGGTACTCATTTAAATTTTAACTCATTTCGACTACTTTTTTTTGTTTCTTCATTTTAATTTATTTACTGTCGCAGATTATATGGGCCCCGTATGAGGTCCTCCGTGACAGGTTTCCTATGCCAGAGTCCACGTGGTTTAGTGGCATGTTACAGTACATGTGTACTTTGGAGCCTTACCATCCGGACAGGGTCTTGAGACAATTTGGGCATGTTCAGAAGATTCCCGGCCAACCGTACATGTCGGACGCTATGTTTAGGAAGCAGAAGCGGGGCACACCTCATCCTGTATTTGCGGGGTACCAGAACATATATTCTGAGCGATGGGAAGATCACTTGCTTAATGAGCGGTCTAGATCAGTTCCAGTGGTATTAGGAGAGCCGGACACTACACCCGATTATATGGATTGTTATAGGGTATAGGGAGCGGACCATCACAAAACTCTGTACGCTTCCAGTTTCTCGACCGCAAGCACCCTGGCGCCGCCATATAGCTCGCTCGCCACTACTAGAGGCCCGTGATTCTCAGATTATTACGATGGTGAGGACTACATTGGCTCGCATACGCGAGCAAGATACCGATGATGGATATACCGAGATGGTGATGACGTTAGAGGGGATTGCTGATTTGTTTGCTGGTGACACTCCTACTTCACCGTCGTCGTCGACTGCTCCACCATCGGATCCACCATTGCCGACTGCTCCACCATCGGATGCACCATCGCCGACCGCTCCACCATCGTCGACTGCTCCACCACCGTTACTAACATTTCAGAGGAAGAAACTTAGAAAGAAGTAGATAGTTGGATGATTTTGGATGTTTTTTGATGATTTTGGATGTTTTTATAATGCACGAGTTCACTAATTATTTCATCAAAAATATATATATTTATCAAAAATATATTTAATGCACCAATTCTACATATCAATACATATGGTCTCTTGTAGTGCTACATAATTACGATTAACTAACTCTTTAAAAGCAATAATCCTAGACTCCATATCAATAGTTTTCCAAGCACTAGCTATAGGGTGGTGGTATCGCCTCCAATAATCTGCTACAAGGGGAAGAGGAAAATTCTTCTTCAAAACAAGATGCACAAAATGATTTCCATCAACAAGCGCTATCCCATGCTCTTGTCTTTGCCCATCTGGCACGGGGTCACTAGAGAACTGCAGCTGCGTTATCAGTACGAGCACAATGTCATATTTAGACGCAGTAAAATGACCCATATCCGGAAACGACATCCAATTTTCATAAGGGGCAGGTGTAACCGAACACCTCATTTTCGCTTCCAATTCATCAAGCGTATCTCGAACTTTGTGGATATTCATGTAAATATCATCATTCATAATGAGCTCATTGACCAAATCTCTTCGTACTAGACTCCAATTATCTTCCCCAAAGCCCATCATTGATGCAACCGCCCGAAATCCACATTGACCATCCGCGCAACATTTTTTATATCTCCAACATATCTTCGGAACTTCGGATGTATTTGTTTAATATATATATCCTTGGTAGTTTTTTTTCGAACCTGCACATAAGAAGGTTAAATTAGTAATACATAATGGAAAAAAAAATTACAGCGAATTATCGACATATTGATGTTGAAAAGTATGAGAAATATTGACATGTTGATGTCGAAAAATGTGACATATTTCGACGCTATTGCGTCGAAAATTGTTGTTTTTTTCGACATGTAGGTGTCGATATTACACTGATATATTTTTACGCCTTACTGATATATTACGGGTAGTTTTTCCAACACCGTCGATTTACCGGTGCTTCGATTGAAGATGTCGGTTACCATTGATACAGTCATCGGCTGCGGTATAAGTTGTTCACGTTGCTTTTGGATACCAGAAATAGGAGTGCAACTCTCAGGAGTCATAATCTACAATGTTTAACCAATATCACGTATTACTAAATGAGAAACCGAAAAATGAACTATGAGCTAAAAACTTCAAAAAAATTACCTTTGGGGAACAACTATCTTTGCTTGAATTAAGCTCGTACTCAAATTTGGATGGGTTGCGTCGGGTTGATTTATCAATACGCAATTTTTTTCCGGGACGACCTTTGGTAACAACCTTTTGCATTGGCTCAATGAGAGAGTTACTCTCGGGGTGAGTAATCTCCCGCAATTTCATAAGCAATTGAACCCTTTTCTTTGCATCGGACGGATCGAAAACAGCTCGCCATGCTTCCATTTCTTCCGCATCAGTCGGGAGATGTTCAGCCTTTGTACAAATCATTGGCTCCATGCTCAAGTGCTTCCAATACGGGTCTATCCAGTCCAATGAGATGGGAGTGCGATTTATGACGTTACCATGAAATTTGTGGGCACAAGGTAATCCATGAGTGGTTCGGATATCGCAGGTACAAGACATAAACTCGTTCGGAAGCAACTCGAGTGATTTTTTCACCTCAAGTTTGAGTTGCTCAAGAGCGTACAACGACACACATCCTCGAAGTTCGTTGTATATCGATACTTTGTAACTGTGTTGGTAAGTATTCTTGCTCTTCTCAAACGAGGCTTTGATTTCCGTATGTTGATGCATCAGTAAGTTGTCAATATGAGCCCAAATCTTTACAAATGTGCCCATACTATTTCCCAACTCTTTCTTCATTCGTGAGTGTGCACCCTCTACCCGGTTAGAAGTGTACGTTCAAAGATGCCTATGTTTGTTTGTCCAAGCCGAGACAATCATCTCTTTGTACGGATCCAACCACGAATGAGAGACATAAGTTAAAGCATCCGGGTAGTCAACAAAATTTGTTTTCATAACATCCCATTCTTTATGAAATGTCTCTTCTGTCTCTTGACCAACAAGACTTGCCCATTCCGACTCAAAATCTTTCCACTTATCATTGTTCGTTTTGAACATCTTACAATTACTAAGAATGTTCTTGCTCACGTGCCATCGACACAAAAGTTGTTGACTGGAGGGATATACGATCTCTATAGCCTTCATCAAAGCCAACTCTCGATCCCTGACTATACAATTAGGTCTAGGACAACTTTCCATGACCTTCACCAAGCTCTTCAAGGCCCATACGTAATTGTCTATTTTTTCCGCCCGAAGGTATGCAAAAGCAACAAAGAACGTTTTATTCGTAGAAGTAATACCCACAATCTCTAGGAATGGGAGTCCGTATATGTTGGTTTTGTATGTGCAATCCATAACCAATACATACGGATAACTACATGCCAATTTAATGCACGTGGGGTCGGTCCACAACAAGTCCATTACCTTGCCAGTCTCCTCCAAATATCTGTGATACTAGAAGTAGTTATTTTCGGACAACTTCAACATCAACAATTGCATTTGTGTTCTACCAGCATTCTCTTTGAACTGGATCTTCTGACGAGCATTGTAAACCGTCTTAATTAAAGATGCATTTGTCAGATTCTTCAACTTTAGTGATGATAAGATTGCCTTTGGTTTCACCAATGCGTTTGACGCGTCTTCTACAAGTGCCATCTCTTCACTTGTTAATCTTCCAGCATATGAGTGGCCTTGAAAGTTTTCAAAATCTGAGTGGTTGTGACTGTTAGAGTAGGTGACCGGCAAGCCAACTTGTGGCTGTGGTCTTTCTCTTTTCTTTGTAATAAAACAATCGTTTTTCGTTCGTAATAATAAAATATCTTATTTGGCATTCTATATCTGTTATCCCATGCAAGCAGCATAGATATAGTCCTAACGAGTTACTCTATTACTGTGAGTTGATCTAGTAGAATCGTGAGATAACTCAGCAATGTAATGTAACTGTTAAACCTTGTTCCTAGTCGATGGGTTACGCCAATAATGAGGATACCGGCCTTTCCCTTTTGAGACTAGCACTTAGTGTATGTGTACTGCGTCTCATCAGTCCTCGGTGTTGTGACATCGGCATACTTGAGTGGGTGCTCATACTGGATGAGTTCACTGAACTCCCTCGCCCTAGAAATCTATAAGTGGTTCTCATTCATCGAGTAATAGGTTTCTAAGATATAGTTATACACCATTAGTCCTTAAGACCCAGACATCACCGTGACTTCACTAGAGGACCGATTGTATCGTGACCTGTCCCTGAGTCCCACCGCGGACCGCTCCAAGGGCCAACGTTCGTGCAATCCGAAATCTAGTGTGAAGTCTGTGCATTGTAGTAGGGGATTCGAGCGCTTGAGTAGTCATGGATGTCCTGTGTGTTCTGACGGTTTATAATCCATGGAATCTCTGGCCAGAGTTGATAGTGGGGTGATTAGGGAAATGTGTTTCCCTAAGTCGCACACGAACGGATTTATAATACCTAGAACGTTCGCACGGTTATTGAACTTTATAAGAGGTCTCGGTGAACCAATGCCTCTAGTTCAATCGGGACATGTGCTACGAAGGGATCGTACTGTACGCTAACTATATCATAAGGTTCTTGCAGGCACTTCACTTGTATCTAGGGAATCATGATGCGTAGTTGCTAGACGCCAATCTTGATTCGTTGGGCACCGATTTGATCGGGATTAGGTAAAATGAGTTTTACTCTAATCGGGACTCTTGGGAGGAGTTCGTATAAGAACAATGTGTTGTTCGAATCACAAAGAGTTGTGAGCCCACGGCTAGCATACACCTGAACCATTGAGGGTCACACTTCTCGTGTAATATAGATCCTTGATAACAACAAGCATAGATTAATGTGTTAATCTTTGAACGATTGGATGTCGATATGATTGAATCCAAGATTCGTAATTGTGAATTGCGAATTGGAATAAACGTAGAGAAAGAGAGACATGCGGAATTTAGTGAACTTTCTAAATTGGGAAGTTTCCCGATTTAGCAAGTCCACTGAAGTGGAAGTTTCTAATTTTGGAAATTGGAAATTTCGAAGAGGCACTTGTATCGACGAGGACTTTGAGCTCGTCACAAATATAATTTTGTTATAATTTTGTGGACGATCGTTTATTAGAAACGAGGCCGACGAGGGAATGAGCTTAATGCATCAGTGGGTCAAGCCCAATGACTTAAGCCCACTAGGGTTGAAAACCCTAAGTATAAATAGACCTCAAAAAGAGTTTTGAGATCAGATTTTCAGCAACCAAAACCCTAGCCGCTCAGCCCCCTTCGGCCGTTGCTGCCCCGCCGCGCCACCGCCGACCACCGCCGGAAAACCGCCGGTTTTTCTCCTCTTTTTCCTTCGTTATATTCGTGTTGTTATCTAACTCGTTTACATCTAGTGCTGTAGTTCGAGTGGGTCGAAAATCCGAGGTGAAACCTAATTGGAGAGGAGCTGCTGCCCCGACGAATCCACACACCGCCGCACGCGCCGCACCGCCGCTCACGCGCCGTCGCTGCCGCTGCCACGCGCCGCCGCTGCTGCTGCCGTTCGTCGCCGCTCGTTGCTTGCCGGATCAGCTTGTTCCAGCCGTGAATTGCATCCCCGT